AATTTTTTATTAGTGATTGTAAATGATTGATTTTTTTTTCAATCTTTTAGACCATGATTCTATAAGAGCAAGTTAGAAAGATTGACATATAAAACCATCTCGTATAATTCGTTAAAAATTGAAATTGATCGCTATATTTTTTTTTAACAAACGAAAGGAAAACGAAAAATGAAAATTAAATGATGGAGGAATTAAGAATCTAATATTAATATGCTTTGTTCATTTGAGGCTTATTACATAATTTATGGCCGATAAAATAAACACCACAAAACAAACATCTAAAAAAGAAAAAATAAATTGAGTAAAGAAAAATATAAAACCCTCTTTATAAAAAATAAAATAAAAAAAAAAAATTGGTGGGGGCATGTCACCCACCATGCCGCACCTTGGTTCCTCCAACTGTTATATTGCCACCATAATTTTTATTTGATACACCACATTTTAATTGCAATTAATCTCCTCATTTTTTGTTCATTAGAGTAATTATTTCTTTAATTTTTTTTCCATCAAATTCTTATTTTCAATCTTTCATAAATTAGTATATCTCGTTCTTGATGATGAGTTATATTAAAATATTTTATTTTCATACTTTGAGATGTGGGAAACATATTTTTTGTACTTTTTAAAAACATGATGAAAAAATAAGTTATTTTACGCCATTTCAACGGACTTCTGGATATAAAATTATTATCAAATATAAAATGTGTTAACCAATGAAAAGTTTGAAAATAAAATTGACATGAAAAATCAATAGGGACATAAGTGCTATAATGAATAAATATTAAAAACTTTAAATGCAATTAAAATGTAGTGCAAAAAATAAAAATTATAGTGCGAATATAATTAGCCTTGATATTTTTACACCAATATCGTGCATGAAGGTTGGATATGCCTTTACAACTTTGATTCTCTCTCTTTTATCTAGTTTCCACATCCTTTTGAAGGAGAACTTATGCACAATAAAATCTATAAATAAATTTAGAACTAATAATTTCGTGATTGAAAAGCAATTTTTGATACTGCGAAAAAACTCTTGTAAAAGCATCATTATCTTATATATTCTGGATTGGCAAAAAATCCAATTTTCTTAGTATGATATTATAAATCAAGTGCAAAACGTGACAATAAGCCTGACTTAACTAATATTTCAAAAATCGCAAATTAGCATGTACGATTGCGAAAATCGATAATCATTCGAGTTTTCCGTTCTTTCGTATCAATATTCGAGCTCATTTTTAACACACCAAACTACACACCGATGATTTCCAACAAATTTAATAATTGCAACATATTGGACACGCCTATTTGAAAGAGTGAGGAGATTGACATGTGATCACTTTGTTTTTTTCTTTTTTTGTTGATGTAGGAACTTGTAGCTGCTACCCACCAGCGGAACCCCGACCATCTCAAAGGGGCGGAGGTCCGACCACTATGAATTCGCACCAGGTTAACCCCACTTCATGTGCAATAGCCCGCAAATCACACATGAGAGGTAAACCGCATTAGGTAAGTCTAGTGCGACGGGGCTTGACCGATGAAGTGTTGACAAGTGATTCGAACTCCTGACTTTTGATCTCTGCGTTCACCTATTTCACCAACTCGACCACCCGTTTGTGATCACTTTATTATGCATATGCTTAGAGGTTACTCAAGTAGAAATGACAATAGGACATGCCATCCTCTTCCTAGTGGGGATTTTTTCTATTTTATTTTTCAACATAATTTTCGTCGTAAATTTAGTATATAAAAATAAGAATTTTAATTATAACATAAGGAAAATCTTGACTTGAAGATTCCATCTTATTTGTCTAAAGGTTGAGCCTACTATGCATATGTTTAGGTTACATATTTTCAGTATATAAACCCCTTTAGGAATAGATTTTGTTAAAAAAAATAATAATTTTTGTTTAAAACCAATATGAACTGTCATTAACTAAATGTAATCCCACAATTAATGAAAGATTCCAAAATATAAATGAAATATGCGTTGGCATGATAATTAAACGAATTCGAGATCAAGTACTTAGGGTTTGTTTGAGTCCATTTTTCGGTAGAGTAAATTTTATGATTTTTCTAAAGGTACAGTTTTTTAAAACAGAATTAATACAGGGAGACAGCTGTTTTGGCAATAGCCAATCACATGAAAACAGTCGTCTTCCCTGTATTAATTATGTTTAAAAAATCTGTATTTTAGCAAAATTCTAAACTTTATAATAGTGATTTTTGGAGAATGTATGATTAAAGTATGTATTTTTCTTCGTGTAAAATTATTTTATTAAAAAATATACGATTGAAAATAATTATTTTTTTATAAAGAAAATTTTAAAGAATATCCGGGCAAAACCCCCACACGATATTGCAACATGCCTTTGCATTAAAGCCTAATAAAGCACACGTAACATCACTAATCAAACCAATACGCGCCAACAAAAAAAATATAATTGAGTAATAAGATAGAGCAGCCAAACTAATATTGCTTCACAGCTCACTAGTACCTTTTTTTTTTTTTGAAAAAAAGGGAGATTATTCCCAAAGTACAAGGAAAGTTTCGCGATCGTCTATTTTTTATTTTCATCTTTCAATGATGTTTTGCCATGTGTTATATAACTGTAAAACAATTTTATGAAAAAAATCTGAACGTGTAACATGATTAGAAAAGAATTCTCTTTGAATTATGAAATTAATTGTGAATTTATTCACATTATAGAGAATCGAAGTTACTTAGTGCCTGTTTGGGAGCACTGAAATGAAGCAGAAATGAGATTTTTTGACCGTTAATTTTCAAATGTTGGGGCCTGCTGTGACTCAACAAAGTCAAAAATTGTGGGCAATTCAATGTGGTAACGATAGGAATTATGATTTTAATGGTGCTCAGATACGCCCTCAATTTTTTTTATCAAATTCAATATTTTTATATGTAATATTATTTTATTAAAAAATGTGTGTTTAGAAAGAAAAAAGAAAAAAAAAATCTATTTTGAAAAAAAATGAATCAAACAAGATGCCCTAATTTTTTCCCCTAATCTTTGGGACGCCATTCTTTAAAAAAAATAAAAATTATAATTTAAAAAAAAAAATGGGGCAAATTCCAAAAGATGCCCACATTATAGTTTTACCAGCAAAAACTCTGTGGGTCTGTAAAATGGTAAATGTCTCATAATTCTATGCCCTTTTTAGTAAATTGGAAGAGAGAAAAGAAGAACAAAAGCTGTTCATCTTCCTTCCTTCTTCATCCTCTGTGTTGACGTGTTCGGGTCAGGACAAAATCAGATCTGAATTTTTCATCTGCTAAATCAATCCATTGAAAACAGAACATTAAACCTCAAGTACGGCGTCGTTTCCAAGTACTAACTCAGAAATCATCGGATCCAATGATCTATTCCACAACTTTACTCTGATTGATTCCTCTTTCTATTCATTTTTCATTTTTCTTTAGCTAAGAATAGGAAGAATCGGAATGGATTCCGATGAGATTCGGGCAATTTTATCGAGATCGCGAGTGGGGATTTGGGCGCTGATTGACACGGCGATTAAAGTGGCCATTTCTGACTACGCCGAGGATTTGAAGCATCGCAGAGATAAAATCGTTGAGTCGCTCTATTCTTCCCCTTCCTGTAATCAGCTCTGCCAAAACTGCAATAGCAGCATCAACGTCGAGGTTCCAGATCACTATTATTCTCATAATAACAATAATAATAGCGATAATAACAACGATAATGCTAACGATAAGAAAAAAAATAGCATTGTTAATAATGATATTATAAATGAGGAATTTAGTAAGAGCCCGTTGACTCCTGAGTCAAATAATCGGAATTCTACTGGGGAAGAGGAACAAGAAGAAGAAGATTTGGATCCGTACGGGGGGCTATTTGATGATGAGCAGACCAAAATTCTCCGATTCAAAGAGCAGCTTGAAGAGCCTAACCAGGTTTGAATTTTCTGTTTTATTCAAAATTTGCTTCTTGTGGTCTGCTTTAGTTTGTTATATGATGTCATTTATGGTTTTTCTTTCTCCTTTGGATGTAGACTGAAGAATATGTGGTGGAATTGCTGCAAAATCTGGCAGATATGGATATTACTTTCCAAGCGCTAAAGGTGGAAATATTAGGTTTTCCAGCTAATTCATCTAATCTTTTGACATTATTCTTATTACTTTTTGGGGTTTGAATATATGGAGCAGGAAACTGATATAGGAAGGTATGTCAATGGATTGCGAAAGTATCCCTCAAATGAAGTGCGCAGATTGGTGAAGCAGCTTGTTAGGTATTTACTTTTATACGAGATTAACTGACGTGGTTGAATTTCTTTTATATTTTATTTCACCATATAGCATTGAATTTCTTTTTCATTTGCTTATAATTTCATCTTGATGTTTAGGAAATGGAAAGAAACTGTGGATGAGTGGGTTAAGGTGAACCAACCGGAAGCATCGTCAAACCTGATTGGTAATATTTGATAAATAGACCAAATTTTGTTTATGCTCTTCATTTTCACTCTATCTGGTATATGTTACACACGTTGATGTTAGTTAATTTGAATGAGAGTAATGAATTGTGAGTAAAGAAGAGGTTTGTATATTGATAATTATGGTGGTGGTGGCAGCTGATGGGGACTCACCTCAGCAGAACATGTCCAAAAATCAACACAATGGCCATCACCAGGTGAAAACCAAATGTTGTTCCAATCAATTTGTTTTCCTGTTGGAAAAGAATAAGTGAGAAAAGAAAGGCAAAAAAGAAGCAAAGTTGGTATGAAATGCAATTTTGAAATTCTGAAGTTTTGTTTTTACAGGTGCCAGATTTTGGGTACTCTCCGAATCCACAGAGCGAATGTATGAATCAGATTCTGAAATTCACAGTTGGTCATATTTTTGTTGGTTTCTATGTTGTGCATATGGTTAATGTCATGTATGATCAATGTTTTGTCTGTTAGATGGGAAGTCTGGACCAGAAAGGAACAGTTTGGAATACGAACCAAAGTCTAAACCATCTCAATCTGTCTCTCGTAGGGAAACTCCATCGAGACCACCGCAACCAGTTCCTAAATCTGCTTCTGCTCCTCCTAATGTACTGGCTTCTGAAATCAATGTTTTATACATATAAGTGCAATGTCATTGATTTTGTGTGTGTAAATGAAAGGCTGTGCCTGTTGAAATTTTTTAGTTTGGTAAAGCTTAAAAAGTTAATTAAAGTAGCTTTTTTTGCTAGTCTTTTTAGGAGTTATGCATCTTTGGATTTTTTTAGTTGAAAAACATAGTTTTTAACTTTCCAAAAGTACTTTTACATTTTTCAAGCATATTTAACCATGTTAATTGTTATGGCTCTAGCAATATTGACATTGAATATTGAGGAACATTGGTGGAATCAGTGGCATTGATCTTATTGTGTCATTGTTTAGTCGGCTCATGGTGTCTTAGTCAGATAGGCCAAAGTTCTTAGCTTTCTGACCAAGAATGCAAGATTCTTTGTGATTTTTTTTGGTGAAATTGGGATCAATGGTTTCAAAGTAATGCAATTTGAATAAATTTTAATTACTTGAGTTTTGCAGAAACAACAACGGGAAGCTGCCATAGATGATGAAAGGCTGAACTCCGCGAGAAGGCGACTTCAAGAAAACTACCAAGAAGCTCAGAATGGTTTGATTTTGACTTGAACATTTTTTGCATTAGCTTTTACTGAGGTTTTCTTTATACTGATCGACTTTTGTGGGTGCTGTGTATTTTTGCTTTGTGAAGCCAAAAAGCAAAGGACAATTCAGGTGATGGATATTCATGAGATTCCCAAGCCAAAGAATGGCTTCATTGGCAGGAATAAAGGCAGCGGCTTTCAGGGGAGGAATCACCGGTGATTTGCCATTTTTGTCTACCATATATTGCTTTGTGTTTCAGATGAAGGGATTTACCAGGAAAGCGTCTGGCCGAACCCCAACCCCTGTTACATTATTTTGTTGCCCAGCAAGGCTGAAATTTAAACATAGAAACTACTGTTAATCATGGCTGAAGCTATGCTAAATTTAAACTAGTGTCAGTCATTTCTTCTTTTAAGCCCCTTTTCAACTCCTAATTTCAAGGCAGGATGTTTTCTTAGACAACTAAGACCATGTTTGAACCCAATTTTTAAAATTTATTTTTCCTCCTATTTATTTTCAATCACATAATTTTCCAAAAAAAT